TTTCGGGACGTTAAAACCAAAATATCAATCTAGTTTCATCTCCTGTACGTACTCAGTAAGTTTCTATACTCTACGGGGATTTAGTATCTATAGGCATGATTCTGATAACTGTGCTCGCTGCAACCAGAGTTTGACTCGTTTAGCCTGCAAACCTGCGCCGCGACTAATAAAACGCAGTGCCATACGAGCAGCGACGATGTTGAGTCACAGCGCGGATAATAAGCCTTTCAACCACTACTGGTTGAAGGGACTGTTGTTGTCATCGCATATATATACTCGAGTCAAGCAAAGCGCCAAGTCCAGCGAAAGCCAATTAAAGACGCCCTTGACTGGCTTCCGAACACGAGCTCCGCCGTTTTTACTCAAAGCTCCATGCGCGCCGCTATAATCCTGTCTGGCCTGTTGTTAGCGCGCGTGACCTAAAAAGTGCAGACTCGCTTGCTGAATTTCGTGCCGCCCGGTTGAGCCCCCGCGAGATTCAGACGACAGCGCAGCTCTGGCCGACCGGCTCGCCCTCCGCCATCTCCTGACGCCGTGAAGCTCTCGCTGAATAGTACGCTGTCCTCGGACTCCTTCGACCGTGTCCTCATCTTTCTATATCCTATCTTTACTTCTGTATGTGGGTGTTCTCATCTCTATCCCTATCCCTTCCTCCTTATCCCCTCCTTATCCTCCTTATCCCCTTGCCTCGTGAGCCACTGTTGAGGTGTTTCACTCAGTTGCAGACAGTTACGGGGCTCACTTTTATCTTCTTTTCTCCCATTTAAAAATCACTCTTCCCCCCAAAAAGTGCACTGCCAAGGTTGTGACGTCGGATTTTGTACTCTCGTGCAACATCTCAGAAAGGAGGAAATCTTACTCTCCGTAAAAAAGGTTCATATACACCGCCCGCGTTCGTAGGAGAGGAGTACTGGGGAGAGGTCCGTAGCCCAACTGCGCATGATCAGCTTGCTAACGCCCAGTGGTGTCTTAACCTTCAATAGCTCCTGAAGCGACAGTTCTTTCGGGTGTCTTCTGGGCCGGCACGAGACGCGAGCATGCGCAGTGGTGGGTGTGGACGGCACCGCCGACGCCGAAGCGCGACATCGTGCGACTAAGAAATGCTCCGTATTTCAAACGACACAACGTTAAGTATACCGCCAGGAGGAGTCGTTGACATCCTTTCAGCCACTGCGCGGTTTTAGAGAGGCAGAGAGTAAAGTTTACGGCCAGAACACGGTAGCCGCAGGCTAAGCATATAGCCTAGAAGTCGTTTGCCGGCTGGAGAAGCGATCAGCTCTTCGTCGACGGTCGTTGATGCCGATTCCGCGCGGAGGAAGAGTACGAAGGCGGGTAGCGCAGCCGACTATAAAGAAGAGAGTGCGAGGCTTCCATTGTCGGGTCGGCAACGCCGGGCGGCCTATTTTCGGGGAGGAGCGGCGAAGTCGACCAAAGAAAAAAGGGCCCCGTCGGCGGACAGCTGTAAGCGCGCTGCACTGTACAAGTAAGTGTACGCTCTTGGAACCAGGGGGCGCAGGATGCCGCGGTCGTCTGCGTGTATGTTTTACAGCAGCCGATCCGACGGCGCCTGCAGCGAGACACAGTTCACGAGAGTCCGGCGTGTGTACAGCTCCCTGCATGCGCGCACGATGAAACGGTTTCACGGCCATCATTAGCACAGTGGTCGTCGTCTACGGGAATGTGCGGAGAAGTGCTACAGATGCGAGACTGGAAGAGAGAAATGGGCTCACTTTTTCCATGTCTGTCTGTGTACTGAGAACCACAGGAAACGACGGTGAACATGCTTCGTCGGTGTGTAGGCACACTGGAGAAAACGAAGATCAATAAATGGAAAAAGGGGGATTTCCGTTCCGTGCGTTTGTACGCATCCTTTTGCTTGTTTTTTTTTTTTTTTTTTTTTGAAACGGAGATAAGTCTACGAACTGGACTTGTTAAACAAGGCAAGACACCACGCCACTGGTGTCTACCTCGTGCATACAATATTTAGTACCAGTAACTAAGTACAAGATGTTGCCGTTCCGCTATAGCTATGCTGCAATATGAAGTGTGCCAGCTTGGGATAGTTGGTATGGCACGACGATAGTTAAAGAACAAAACGACGACACACACGAGACAAGAAGGACGTGTCTTTCGTCTCCTTCTTGTCTCTGTGTCGTCGTTTTGTTCTCGCGCTATAACTATCGTCGTGCAATATGAATTCCCAGATGCAAAGCGGAAATATTATTGCGCGGAGAATAAAGAGAATTGAACTCGGTTTTCTGCATGGGTACGCCTCGCATGACATCCACCGTGTTTTGTCACCACTTCCTGTCTTCCGTACCACCCGCCGTCGTATAGGTTGGCGACTTCAGCTTCGCGTTGTAAGATTCGACCCTCAGAGACGGCGCGGCCGCATTTCGATGACGGCGAAACGCAAGAAGGCTTCGTGCGCTTACAATTTTTGCGCGTTGAATAGCCCCAGATGATCGGAGTTAATTAAAGAAGAGCCCCACGTCCAGTGCATGTTTCCAGGGTGCTAGCCGGTATAAAAACATAGTACTGAGTTTTCGATTTATTCACCCGAACGAGAATCCGGTGAAACGATTTGTAACAGCACGATTAATATTCGATTCGTGGGGAGAGAGGCGGTTACGTAGAAAACCGGGAAAAAATTCGGGAGTCCCTCCTTTATCGGGAAAGTGGGGGAAAGCGAGATTCGACGTGCGAAAGCCTCACGTGTGCGTTGTGGAAACGACGTGTTGCACTTGAAATCTGCCTTGTTACTTGAAGCAACGCGCGTGAATTGCGTAATTAGAGTGTCAGATATTAGCACGGTCCTTCGTATTCGCTCGACATTTGATATCCGTTGCGCGAGTATGAGCTCCAAAGGCGCGACCACTGTAAAACTTTGATTGATTGATTGATTGATTGATTGATTTGTGGGGTTTAACGTCCCAAAACCACCATATGATTATGAGAGACGCCGTAGTGGAGGGCTCCGAAAATTTTGACCACCCGGGGTTCTTTAACGTGCACCCAAATCTGAGTACACGGGCCTATACAACATTTCCGCCTCCATCGGAAATGCAGCCGCCACAGCCGGGATTTGATCCCGCGACTTGCGGGTCAGCAGCCGAGTACCTTAACCACTAGACCACCGTGGCGGGGCACTGTAAAACTTTGCCAACACAATAGCGCGCTAAACTTCACACAGATTACAGCTATACGCGTGGTGACAATGAAAAACGGTAAAAAGTAAAGTAATGTAGCAGGAGAAAGGTCGCCTTTTCCGTCATGCCTGCGGCGGGCAGGAAACTGCTGCCCACAGCCGGCAGAAGCTCGGAGCACCAGCCAAGGGTTTCCTTCGCAGCAGTTTACTATTCGGGCATTCCAGCGACGCAGGCGGCGCCACGTAGCCGTGCTCCGACGCTGTCAGACGGTGATAAAACTGCGACGCAGTTCAGTAGTCATGATCCAATGAACGCGTCTCCACGCTCTGCGACGCTGACGTAAACGCTCGCTACATCACCGTCTCGTGAATAAAAGTTTATCCAATAAAATAAAATTTTATCCAATAAAATAAAAGTTTATCCAATCCAATCACCGTCTCGTCCGCCATTTCGACCTTCCGCAGCGCCGCCTATGTACGCTGAAACGATCGAATCGAAGTTGACGGCGTCACACTCGAAAGGATTCAGTCGTCAGCTAATCGACGCGCTAGAGAAATCCCGAAACGCAATCATAGAACGGCTTCCGACCTGACGCTGCCGGAGGATCACAGATCACGTTTATACAGATCAGTGGCTTATCATTCTCGTGCTCTCACTTCGTTTTGCATGAAACGCTATTACGGAAATAAGTTGTTTTTGCAGTGTCTCGACACATCACATATAGAGTGACCGCAATCGCGCAATAGTTTTCAGCTCTTTCGGCTCACTATTGAGTAATGATCCTACAACTAATACGAAGAAATGCCTGCGAAGTGTAGTCGCAAACTTTTACACGCAAGCGTTCGACCCGACGGGTCAGGCGACTGCACGTGCGAAAGTATACCACTTCGAACGCCGTTAGGTATCAGTGTACATACAGGCAGCCATTACAAAAGCGACGTTACGAATCTCCCCACAACGACATTCCTCCTCCAGCAGCGGCGCGAGGATATCTCACCGTGCCGGATTTGCATATCGCTCAGAATCGGAGGATAGATAGAATCCCAGCGCGAGGTCTTTCCACCGCGCGAGAGGAACGACACACACGGGCAGACGGCAGAATTTAATTTCGCGAAAGCCGGCCAGGAGGAGAGAAAGGAGGCCCGGCACGGATAACTTTAGCTCGGCGCTGACCTCGCCCGGCGAAACACCGAGAGGAGGCTCAATTTTAGGGCCGTGTCAGTTATGCAAAGTTGGCTCCCAGGACTGCCATTATTGTTATTTGTTTTTTTTTTCGCGTTCCTTCTCCCTCCATCGGCGGGCTATTTTCCCTCCGAAGGCTCCCGGACGACCACGCTGCCGCGCAACCAACTGTCATGACAAGGAGGGGGGTTGGGGGATCTGGAAAGACGGCAGGAATGGCCCGTCCGACCTGTTCGTCTCTTAATGCGCCACGCAGGCAGATGACGGGGAGAGAGAAGGGCCACGCCAGGGGTGCAATTTGGCCCGGCGTCGTGGCGCTTACCCCGGCACCCAGGGCCGCAGCCCACAAAAAGGGGGGGGTCTGCCGTTTACCAATAAGGAAAGTTTATTGCCACATCGATCGCCCGCAGTCCGGCTGTAAAAATATTTTCCCTGTGTGTTGCGATAGGCACTGGGGTGAGGGGTGCAGCGCAGCCGTCGCCCGCCCGCACCACTACAGCAAAGGGGGCCTGCGAGAAAGAGTGGAAGGGGGGTCCGGCGCCACTTTTTTATGCGCGCAGAGAGCTCTTGTTTTCTTTTGCCCTCTCCCGTGTGCGAGCCGCCCTCTCCCAAAAAGAATGGGCGAGTAAAAGAGGGAGGGGGCCCAGCCAGTCAGGTGACCCCGATCGAGCGCTCCGGTTGGCGGAACGCCGCGCCTAACACACTTTTTTTCCGTGGGCTAAAAATTTCTCGGGGGAAGGAAGGCCCGCAGACGAGACGCCGCCGACACTCCCGCGGGTCGGGGCTAGGAAAACATTTTTCCGTGCCGTCGCTGCTGCCGCCATCTTGGAGCGACGCCCGCTGGCGAGGTCGCCGCCGCCTCATCTGTGCTGCACGACGCGGGAGCTTTGTGTTTCGGCCGGCCCGCTCCCGTCTTTCAGCACGAGCCTGCTGCTGCTGCCGCTGCAGAGGAGAGAAACGTGAGTGTTCCTCTGCCACGCGAGGCGTTAGTTGGCGGACGCCGCCGCGAGCGACCCTGGCTGGTCTGTGTGTGAGCGTGCGTGCGTACGTTAACTCCCCCCCCCCCCCCCGCCACATTCGTGCACGCTGTCTCCGCTTCCCGGAAGTGACGTCACGCTCCCGTGCATCAGTGGCGTCTCAGACGGCGTCTTCCGACGTCGCCGGTGTCGCGTTGTTTTCCTTCAGCAACGCCGCTAGAATTTGGATGCTCTGCTCCGACTTATCACAGAAAACCGCATGACCCGATGTATTCGACTGCTGGTTGTGTACTATCTGCGTCAAATGAAACCCCAACAGTGGCAAGCCTTCGCGATGGTATATAGCGCGCCGTACACTTATCATCATGCACAAGGACGCATATACGCGCAGAGCTGCCGAAGAGCTCTGCGCTTGATGACAGGCGTCTTGATGTTCGGATTTCATTTGACGCAGACAGCACCATCCACTAGCTACCCAGGACCGTGCGTTTTTCTCATTAACTTAAATATTGCGCTTCTAGAGCAACCTAACTGGCCGGTCCAGTAGGGAAGATGCCTGTCATTATAGCTGTCATCACGCCGAAAGCGAAAGTATACGTACCTGAACGCCGTCGGTCAAGAATGAACGCAACTTCCGCTGTAATGCCACATACGTACACGGCAGTGACGTCACCTTCCGCTGCTGCGAGCGGTACTTTTAGCCGGATCCCCTTTTTGTTTCTTCAAAAATACACAATTTGAATTGCGCGCGTGAAACTTCTTCGTTGACACAACTGCATGGTACTGCACGTCGGTCGAAATGTTCCGGCATAGTCTCCGCATAGTTTGAATGAAACTCGTATGTTGGCGCATGGGCCAATATTCGACACCTTTTGTCGTTGCGCCGCTAGAATGGCCCGATAGTCGGCGCTAGAACATACACCGGATACGATGTCCTCATTCGCTGAACACTTCCATGTTCTTGGAACGGGATCGCGCGTATCGTTGCTGCGAAGTGACATCTTGTCCTAAGCGGGCTCGAGCAGATTCAGCTAGATTTACTTCAAGGGGACACATTTACTTGGCCGAGCTGTTACAGCACTCGGGCGAATACAGCGCGACGTTGATGAAGACAGAAAACACCGACATGCAACGGTCGTCCGTGTCAATTTCGATCTCCTGTCTTTGTCTAAGTCAAGCTGCATTTGTCCGCGTGTTTACTTCATTACATGAAATGCCCCACAAAATCACACGCGGAGGGCGGAATTAATTCATCCGTAATATCGTATGATACCGAACACCGCCTAAAATGAATGCAAAAAAAAAAAAAAACTTAAGACAAGTTTTCAGTTCAGAGTATCAGGAAATTTCAGAAAAAAGTCGAGTGTGCAAGAAGAGCCGATACACAAAAGGATACAGCTGACTCAACCGTGCGAGACGTAGGAAGGATTTCATTCAAAAGGAGGGAAGAAGAGAGTCTTAAAACTAAACACATCAAGCTAGAAAACCTTGCATATAGCCTGCCTCTTTTGAATTTGCAGCTTTTCAGGAATGTGAAGCGAAATCGGTTACGACATGCAGTGCCAGTCACGTCCGGCTTAAGCACGCGATTCACGTGATGGTGGAGTGGTTATAATGCGATCTATCTCTTCCGTGCAATACTTTAAAAATCATCAGGGAACGCAGTTCAGTGAAACGGAGAACCGAGTCGTCGATTTATGTAACAGACGAAGGTCTAAACAAACGCGAACAGCAGGAGTCTGCGACGTCAATCGACCATGCGATGACGGCCAAATTCTTAGAGAGATGAGGCGCCGCCAAAACAAAGTGGTGCCGCTATTTCGGCGTACCTGGTGTGGAGCCACCCCAACACTCTTTCACATCACGTGGGAGTGTGCAGAGCACGACGAAGAACACGATACCACTGACACATGGGAGGAATGGGAGGCTTGTAGTCTAGCACAGCCCTGGCGGATCAGCTGCGATTGATCCACAAAGCTGAACGGATGGCTCGCGCCAGTAGGGCCCTGGAATAGGGGCACCACCCTGGCTACAGACTTTGCTCTTCACCCTGTATATTCCTCGGGGCACTGGAGTTCTAGCCTGTCTGGATTATGTACATAATAAAGTTTTCTACTACTACTACTACTACTACTACTACTACTACTACTACTACTGCAAAACGCCAACGTTAACAACGGGGCTCAAGTTATACGTCGATACGGGCGAAGTTATACGTCGGTACGGGCGAATTGGGTTTTTTTTTTTTCTTTTTTTGAGATCAGTCGTGACAGGCGGCTGCTAACAGTTACGCGGTGTTGTCCGGATCAATTACGAAACTCGCCGGAGAAATGGCGCCTAAAATATCCAATGGTATCAAACTTTCGTGTTCTCTTCAATTATAGGGGGGGGGGGGGGGTTACGTGCCAAACTTTATGTATGATCATGACGCACACCGTACTGGTCGCTCCAGAATTATTTCGACCAACCGAGTCTCTTTAACGTGGCACCTAAAACTGAGTCCCACGGCTCGTATCGCATTTCGCCTCCATAGAAATGCGGACGCCGTGGCTCGTAATCTAATCCGCGACGTCGAACTAAGCAGCGCAGTATGGTCTCGGTGAACGTTCAGATAGGGCCGTCGTTGAATTGCAATTCGGTTATTATGCTGTTGGTACTATATATAAGTAGAGACACCACGACGTTAGCCGTCATTCAGCCAATGTATACGCCGACACTGGCCATAATCAAGCCAACACTAGCAGCTACTGACCAGCGCTGGGATTATGCAAGTCGAAGTCGCATGACAACGTGAGACGCTCTGCTAGACTACCCTGCCTCCGGGATCGGTTCATATATCTATCGTCACAAATCGCACGCCATTGTATTCTGCAAGTGAATGCTAGCGGAAAAGCTGTAGGAAAACATCTTCCGAAGAACTCGTGCTGGATAGATGCAATTAGCGTTTGCATACTCAACTTTCGAGTTTACCTGCGTACGCACTCCGCAAAAAAAAAAAAAAAAAAAGACGGGCTTCGCGCCAGGTAGCGCGCGAGAGCGTTCGACCAGGGGCCCAGGTGGATGCTAATAAACGTTGCTCCTTTTCTTTCTTTTCTCCTTTCGTCTTTGTCGGCTGTCTCGTGAGGCAAATATTCTATGCAGACAGCACGGTGAACATGACGTAACCTCGGTCCGCATACGAACTATACACATTGCTTTCTCACACTTCATCTAACGAGTAGCTGTTAGACACATTTTTTAATCATTTCTTTCTTGTTATGACTGAAGTGTACTTTTAACAACCTGTTCCTTTAAATGTATATTTTATTAAACTCCTTACTAGCCAGTGGCCATGTGTATAACAAGTGTTGTGTATTTCCATGTACTAATAAGAACTTGTACCAATAGAGAACTTGAACACATTACTAATGACAACTAACAGAAGACGCCAAGGAAACTACAGGGGATGTTATTTCTAGTAATGGTAATGTAAACGCGAAGAAAGAAAAGTGGACGAAAAGATAACTTTCCGCGGGCAGGGAGCACTTCTCTTCACATTTATATTACACTTACTAGTAATGAGATCCCCTGTACTTTTCCTTGGGATCAGACTTGGGTGCACGTTAAAGAACCCCAGGTGGTCTAAATTTCCGGAGTCCTCCACTACGACGTCTCTCGTAACCATGTGGTGGTTTTGGGACGTTAAACCCCACATATCAATCAATCAATCAATCAACTTCCTTATGATCATTGTTTGCTAGTTCTTATTAGTATTGTGTTTAACAGAAAAACAAACACTTCTTCCCAACAAGCAGCTGTGTGTCTGAGTTCCCCGGGTAACGCGGCGCACGGCACTGCTTGCGGTTAAAACTCTGTCGAAGATGCCCACTCATGTGCGGCGACGCATGAAAGGAACGCGGTATTGCCCCGCGAGAGAAGAAAGAAACAAACAAAAATCATACCGATCGATCTCCGATCTGCGATGATCAAACTCCCGCAGCTGGTCTGTTCGACGTAGATTATAAAACAAGTCACTGCTTCATTATTTCCCACCTCAGTCCAACATTGGACGTTTTCGCCGAACCTTTCTTTTTTTTTTCCTCTCGTTTGCGCGTGTTTTGTCTTATTGGCTGAAAACTCCGCACTCACAAAGGACAGAACGAAACGGAGAAGAAAACGTCTGTCTCCTCGCTGAGAGAGACATAAAAAAGAACGATACAAAAAGTTTCGGGGAATAAGAAAAAGAGAAACCAGTCTCCGCGAGAGGCAAGTGAAAGACAGAAGGAAGACGGCGCGGTAGGAGTTCGTTGCCTTGGGGGGGCTCCGAGCGAAAGCCTGTTTCGGGATGGTGTGTGTACGCCAGACAGATAATAGACGGGTCGCACCGACACTTTTCGTAGTTATTTCTTTTTAAACGCCGCTTTTCTTTTCTTCTTTCAAGTGGGAAAGAATAAAAAGTCGAGATTGGCATCGGCTTCGCGCGTATAGAACGATGTGACGACCGCCTTTGTGCGGCGATGGCTGTAATGACTAGCCGCGCCTTTGCTCGCCGCTCCCCGACTTGGGAAACTTGTCCGGAGACAAAAAGGAACCTTCTGTGCGTTCGAAAAAAAAATAAAGAAAGACGTGAAACCAACATATCCGAAATGGATCGGGTTCATTGAGCATTTGATGCTTGAAGCGCGAGATGAAGGGCTATAGTGTATCCGGCGGAATAAAGAAAAGAAAACAACGTACGAGATCTGAAAGGAAATTTAAGAGACCACTGTTGGCGTGTTTTCAACGTGACCTCATCAATGCGGTCGCGATGCGAAAATTGGAGGCGGCTTAGGAACTACATCGTGAGGGCGCAACTAAACACAACCCACAGATGTGTTGTGTTTATAGTTGCGCCCTCACGAAGCTTTTTACGTCAAAGCACCAACAGTCAACTCTTTTGAGGGTCTCTGCCTCCGGTTGCACACTTGGACACTACGAACCTCCACCACCATTGCTTGAATGTC